TATTTTTTATACTGTAATATTCTAGTGTCATTAATTAAAAATATATACAAAATACTTCCTACTTTTGAGCTTAAATGTCGTAGGTTGCTTAAGCACGAAAATATTATGTTAAATTATTTTTGCCATTATGAACAGATTTATTATAAAACGAGATTAACATTCGCCATTGATGACATAAATGGGTTCTCATTTTTATAGTAGTGCCTCTTGTTGCATAAATGTGTGTCGAATGCTTCAAATCTGTTCGACTTTTTCATAATTTGTTATGGCAAATTATTATCTCAATACAACAGGAAAATTAATTTATATTATAAAATTCAATGTTGTTAAAACCGTGTGGTATTATGGGAGATGAAGTAGCGCCCTCGAGTATCAAGATTTTCTAAGTAGCCTTGATCTTATACGAAAGCCTTTGACGTATTGCGTATATGTATACACATATAGACATTTCAAACTTTTTTTTTTGCAGAAACGCCAATGTAAAATAATAGTATAATATAAATAAAAACATTTAATTGATAAAATCGTAAATGATTATTATAGATTTAGGTACGTTTTATCAATATTGTACGAGGCAACTTTTAATATTTTTACATTAAAAGTAATAATTATTAAAAGCATAAAACAATATATACTATTCATTGTATTGCAGTATAATTCACAAGTTATAGGTAGTAAGTCCTTAATTGTTTGTGATGATAAATAAATAAATAGATAAAAAAGAAACTGTTTTAAATAAAATATGGTAATCAGAATTACTATCTAATTGAAAGTGTTGACAAGTTACCACATAAAAATATATGTGATAATAACAAATGTCAGATGTACTTATGAATCAAGGTTGCAATTTAATCCACGTAGGATAAATTACTTTTATTTGTCGACTAAATGTCATCTTATTATGAATAATACACTTATTCATTACTTATTATTTCAGAAGCAATTTCAAGGTAACTGTAATGACATATTTATAATATTAGTAGGTAACTAGCGATCTGGTTCGGCTTTGTACGGATTGATAAAATTTTCGTAAATAATATTACTTACGAAAATTCTATTAGTTATATATATATACACTATGTTTTTTTTTTATGTATGATAATGGAATGGTAACCCCACCCGCGCTAACGGTATACACCGGCGGGGCACCAGTGAAGGATGATAGGTGAGGATGAAGCAGGTCAGTTAGCCCATCGTAACGAATTCAACAAAAATTGTTCACGATAGTTTCCAGGGGGAACCACGTGGAGGTCGACCTAATATATACACTATGTTACTTGCTGATAATGTAGTTGAGTAGTTTATGAGTTTATTCATTACAAACAAACAATCAAATTTTCCTCTTTATAATATTAGTATAGATAATGAACATTATTATGAATAAATTTTTTTTTATATGAAAACATCATAAAGGTTATAAACTCAAATATACTGACTGACCCATACACAAGATGGACATTTTATCCGCATACAAATTTTCCTTTTATATAAGCTAATTTTGCATAAAACTCTAATATATATAATAAATAGTAAATAAAAAAAATGCATGCGTACAACCCATGCATTTTTTTGATGCTCTGAATGAGATGAAATGAAGATGCTCTGATAGTAAGTGATTACAGCCGCCCATAAGCACTCGCAACGTTACTGAAATTGCAGGTGAGTTACCGGCCTTTTAGGAACTATTTTGCTCATTTCTTGATGGTTTCAATGTCGTATTTGTTCGGAAATACTGCTGCTGGGAGTTGGTTCCATATTTTGGTTGCGCGTAGAAGAAAGTGTCTACAGAAACTCATCCTAATCATAATTTAATCATGATGATCGGACTAGAACTTTAGCTTGCGGTGGGTTTTTTTTTTAATGGATCACAATGTAATGGTAACCCAGGATGCGCTAATAGTTTACGCTGGCAGGGTACCAGTGAGGGATGATAGGTTAGAATGAACAGACAGGTCAGTAGCCAATCGTGATGAATACGTTTAGAGTTCAGCACGATGGTTTCCAGGGGGAGCCATTGGAGGTCTATCTGATCCCATTACTCGCAATGGGACTGGTAGTTCGCATTATAAAAAATCACTCCCCCCTGCTTGTCGCAGATTGTACGGTGATGGAATTTAGCATTCGCTATGTCTCTAGGCAATGACAGTAGAGTTAATACCAATTGTAAGCAGTTTAACATGACCGGATTAAAAAAGACCGAGGATTGTCTCTCTTTATACTTAAAAGCGTGAGAAAAGGCAATTATATAGGATTGTTGTTTGTAAACGCAGCCACCCTCGTCTACGCACATTACAATAAATTTATAATTAATAAATATCGGCAACGCGTCGCTGGTATTGCAGGCGTTCATAGGGGGCTTACCATCATCTTCACCAGTGGTATAAAAAAAAAAAAAAAAAAAATTAATAAATATTTAAAGTAGATTAAAAATTCACTTAATCATGGACAAAAAAGGAATAACATCTAATAATGTTCAGCGATAGCAACGTATAAGGTATAATATGCCATTAACCTGATCTGTGGAGTTCGTAGGTCTTTTTATATAGATAGACGATATATTACTATTACTGGGTTCATCCTTTTAGTATTTTATATATTTAAATTATAAAGGAAAGCCATCCAGTTCTTTAAACCGACAGAAGAGACAAACAACAACCAAATAATGGCTCATCTGATGGAATTTGAATTAATTAGACATCAATAATAGATATCATAGAATAGACTATATCATCTACGGGACTTCTCGTGTGTTATATTTATTGTAAATTTAGACATGGATATCTTAACCGGTTTTATACTAATACGTTTGTTTTTATTATTAAATTCTAGAATAACAAGTGTCACGATACATATTTTATTTCCAGTGGCGGCACTATACTATCTGAGGCCCATAACAAATTTATCGGATATGATTCCCATATTAAAAAAAAAATTCAAAGAAATTTCTATGAACAGAATAGCCAAGTTGCTTAGCTTTTATCTTAATAATGTATTTGTATAAACAGTATTTGTTTTTGCGTTAATTCTGGAATTCTTGAAGTGAATAAATATTTTTTTACTAATTTATCTATAAAAAAATATTAGATTTATCCTATGCTCACGATTTCTCGGACCAGGGGCTCCATCAGGTCGGAGGCCCGTGGCATTTTGCACGCTCTGCTACGCTATTGTTTCGCCACTATTTATTTCGCACGTTCAGTATTCAAAAACAAAATTAACTAAATTTATTCAAATTATTACCACATTTAGTCCAGTTCAACGCTGCGTTTTTTTGTACGAGGTCGCCACTTGTGAATCATTTTTCGCAATCAGTTATCGGTTCTTCGTGATATATAGATGTCGTACTCCTATATATATATATATATATATATATATATATATATATATATATATATATATATATATATATATATATATATATATATATATATATATATATATATATATATATATTACTGGTAGTTAATAAATGCAGGTATCGTTATTTATGATAATCATTGGAAAAGGCCTACATTCAACAGTGAATTAATAGCTATTACTATAGCTCGTGTGTGTGTAAATTTTTATTGAAAAATTCGTATCTTAGTTTCGATGTACAGGAATGCCTTTGACATGACTTACAGGACAGCAACTTTACAAGCCCCCCGTAGTACGAAGAGTGACTATCAACAATATAACTTGTAGTTTAAAAAATGAATTAAAACTGCATTCACTAGGCTTGTGATTTGTAATATACTTTTAAAATTTGTAATAATGAAATATGCACGCTGCTGTTATGGTGGTTAATTGAAAACCATTCTGTAAGTCACTTACGCCATTTAATGCTTGCAATATCTGTAGGTACAGAACTAGTATAAACATAATTAAATACTACATTTAAACCATCGAAACAAACCATATCGCATTTTAAATTGTCAGTGACGACATCTAGTATATAAGATATACATTATATAGAAATGAGACTGAACAGAAATGTTACAATTTAATATTTTTTTATACAATTGTAGACATAACTACCCTATAATTCAATCAATTAAAACAATTTCGGACAATAAGGAAATATTAATGCATTTAAACACAGCTGTTATTTTCAACGCATTATTTCACTTGTGAGTTGATTGACATATAAATAATATTTTAAACTAATATTTTATCTTACAAATATAATAAAATTGTAACTAGATGATGTCTGAATATGGTATATATTTAAAAAAAAAAATATGAAATGTCTAAAAAAAAAAAATATAAAAACAATAATTTTTAGATATTTTTTTCTATTTGTCTGTCTGTATGTTTGTTTTAATATCACACGAAAACTACTGCACCGAATTAAATGCGTTTTTTACAGTTATATTCTTAAAGGTTTAGCTGTAAACCTTGTTTGTGTTTTATCTTGATATCTTTTATTTATTTTATATATATATATCAAGTTAATTTGAAACTTACTTTCAAATCATGTTTAACATCCTTTGTGTTTATTTTATAGGAATACTACTTAAGAAATACCCAACAACCTAATTATACAAATGACTACTAACATTGTTTTTATGTTGTAATTGTATAAACATGCAAGCCTTCTATGTGCATGTTAATATATGTAATACCTGCTTTTAAATTACTAGAGGAATCGTAATGCTTATAAAAACTGGCGTATGGAAAATTTTCTTTGTTTCTTTATCGTCTCGCTAGTATTATTCTGATTTTCTAATCAGATCATAGTATCATCAGCATCATAGAAATATGAAAGTTTAAATCTTATTTTTTTAAAAACTCGTATTAATTCCGCTAGTTTAAATAAATATATTATTTTTTTAAGTCGGGTATCAATTTTAATAATATTGTTTTAACGTTAACCATGACTGCAACAGTTGACAGATGCCTTTGGATCTTTCATTAGAGTTTATAGTCGTGAGCATCGTTATATATCGACAAGGTATTACCATCAACATTAGATTTGTAATATGTTTTGGGAACGTTAGATGAGAACAACAAAAGACATATTAATTATAAATTTTATTTATTTTACATATTTACAAGCATTAAACTAATATATAAACAACGTTGTACGACTACCAAATTTGTAGAGAACAATATATAAAACAATATAAACGTTCATATTATGATAATATTTATACAGAGTACTGTAATAATATTAATGTCAAGCAATCATTTTTCACTTTGTGTTTGTTATCAATCGTAATTCATAATTAAAAAAAAATACTACCTAACAATACTTAATACTGTAATTATATCAATCAACATTAATACCAAACAACTAGGATCACCTAGAGATATTTATAGCAAAACCTAGTTGAAGAAGAAAAAGTAATTCAAGTAAATTACGCTACATATCAGTTTAATCATGTATGTATATAAATTTACTAATTACTTATCAAGTATATAAATTGTTAATATTGCATATAATGAACGAGATCTCTTTCCTATAATTTTTTTTCGCTCATAATATTTTATAAACCTCCTATTTCCTCCTGTTTCAAAAAACTTCTATAACTTCAGATATCTACTTAGAGAAAATGAACAAAAACAGGAAAATTCAGTTACAGTATTTGAACAATGAGAAGACACAATTCGTTATTTTATAACCGTTCAAAAAGCTATTAACATAATGACTCTCTCTATACATTTTGCTAGACGAAACGATTGCTTGACTAATGACAGAAAAATATACAGAATAACTCAAAATAACCGAACAATAGACTTATATAATATGATATTAGGGACGCCATGTCTTTAGATCCGTATCATGACATAACAAGTATATTTTCTAATCACAAAGTGTGATAATATCAATTTTATAAATATTTAGAATTCGAAAGGAACTAAATGTTCTTAATTTAATTATATATAAAGTGTCGTATTCGAAAATATGGATATCGTGTCATTTTATTTCATTTTAATGCAACAGTACAATGAATACGTTTAATAAATTTTCAGTCTGTTAATTTTGGGCCTAAGTTTTGTGTAGTCGAAAATATATATTTAAATTTATAACATATTTATCATGTGGCACTTTTAACTTATTCTACGCTACTACCTAATGACATCACAATTATAATTATCTTATAAGTTTTGTATTTTATGTATACATAATGTATGTGATGTTAATTGAATGGTATGCGTTTTATTATTCCTAAAAACATCTGGGAGTCTACTTTGAAAACTTATTTATGAAAACCTAAAATATGTAGTAAATGATTTTGTAATCTACTAAAAATATTCGAAGTAAATATACATATATATACTGTGTAATACAGAATGGTAAAGCTGACAGTCCACTTGATGAAAAAGTGGTAATCCATCATCTATAGACATGAACAGTGCATACTGTATATAACAGAGTATACTGTATATCACCCACGATACTCTTCATACGTTGTCATTCCAGAGGACTAAAGTGTTATGAAAAAAGTGTTTAAAGATAAAGGTTTTGACTGTCTGATGAATTTAAATCACAAATACGTAGGTTTGAATCCCTTAGGCAGCCCCAAGATTAATTATCAGCCATTTATTAATATATATTAATAAAATAATAATTTATTAGGAAAGGTTAAGATTTTACGTTTTCATAAATAAGTTGTAATTTTCATATATCAAGGTGCTCTACGAAGTTATTGACAGGCTCACTTTTAAGTATAATAAATCGCTACCAGTCTAAAATACATCTGTAGATAACTATTGGTAATGATGTCGAGGTACATAGATGGACCACGAATGTACTGGTACACCCGACTGCTGGAAGAAAATAAAAAATCATATAAGTACAAAAATTTAAGGTAATTGGGATTTTAAATTTTATCTTTTTAATAAAAGTCATGCAAATTTATACATATGAGACACAAAAATTTGTATTTTGATTAAAGAAACTAGGTATAGTATCAGTCAATAAAGTTCTTAATAATAATAAAAGTTAATAATCTTCACACCAGATCCTTTACGGAGTTGCAATAAAAATTGAACGTTAAAGACCTCTGCTTTTAGAAATTATCTCATGCTTCATTATATCTAATTAATTCGTCTTAATTATAAATGCCTGTTCCGGAAACTCCTATCATGTAATGTAATGGAACTCTAGCCTTTTATTTAAGTAATTTTGAATATAGAATTTGATTACTATTGTATACTACAGTATTTATTATATTTGTCCAATGAAAAATTATACTTACTTCTTGTGTAGTCCTAGCAACCCGTTTGGCTGCATCCTTCTCATATTTCCACTGTAGATCGCTAGGACCATCTGTATTTTCATCATTAACGTTATTACTGGCTACGTGATTGTACTGAGCATCCTCTTTAATTTTATTATTCTCTTGTGCATCTTTCGCGTAAACAGGCACGAAGTATCTTAACCCGAAACCAGGCAAACTCTGAGAACTAAGAACTTGAGATGGGGTGAAGTAGTTGCGTACTGGTTGAACTTGCACCGGTTGAGGTGCTGGCGATTGTGTTGGTAGGTACGAGTTAGCGAATCTTTGAGCATTGTTCAGAGGTATAGGCGCGGGTAGTTGAGGGTTGAACACTATATTTGTGTATCTCGGCTGTGGTATGAAGAACTGCGGTCTCCTATTGAAAAAAAAAAAACATGAAAACAGTAAATTATCCTAATAAAGTTTACATACATATATTTTGAATAGGTTCTAATTTAATTAACAAGTTTTTATATTATTTGATTTTAAGAGACATTAAATATTCATTAATAAAAAGGTAGCACATTAATATAATATTATTTACAAATAATTAAATTGTTTTGTAAAAAAATATAACAAAATCATCAAGGTGAGCAATGATGATTCAATAATAATTATCAACCTATTGATATTACAAACTCTCACAGTTTCAAAATAAAGATCATTACTGATAATTTATTAGTAAAGTATATACATTAGTATATTATTATTTTTTAGTACTTGAAATAAAGAAGAATATAGGCTATACTTTTTATCTCGGTCAATCAATATACGCCATGGAAGAAATCACTAATAAAACCTGGTTCTAAATATATGAATAAGTAAGTGATTACCATTGAGCATTAGGGTCGGGTGAGTCATTAGATCGTTCCTCCCATACCGGCGCGGGGACCCGATAAGGCTGCTGCGGGGGCAGCACGGGCTCCGGTGTCGGCGGCACTATGGGACCTCCACTCGTGCCGTACTTGACCATGATTGCGTGTGCGCATGGTGCGTACACCATCAGGCAAGCCAGCAACTGCAAGTATTAAATAAACATATTGGAGGCTTAGCTTAATCTTATTAGAATTAGAATAATAATTATAAATATTTTTATGCAAATCAAATTAATAACTTCGTTTTCAACCTGTATAGTTCACAGTTAGTATTTTACATTAGTTAGAAAATATGGAACTGAACGAAACCTACACAATGTAGGATCATAGATAAATAGGTGTATTAATATGGCTAAAAAACAAACTGCATAATATATTTTTCATAATTATGGTCGCCATATTTGTTTTATACTGTCATATTGCTCATAGTACTAACTACCATAATTAAGATAGATGTAACCCATCCCTTATTTGATAGGAGTGTGTTTAATCACAAACAAACAAATATTACCTCTATTAAAAAAGTAATACGTATTAGCTGATGATAATTTTAATTATAGCTTATATCCAAGGTCAATGTTAGGATTTATTATTCCGGGAAAATGCCAGGGTCCCTTAACTTGAAACCTACGCAAATAAAGTCATAAACTCGCGTAGGCCTCAGATTACGACAGTCAGTTATTAATATTAATATGCATTATGCAAGGTTCACATTTTTAAAGAATATTTTGTTTCGATCATCAACAAATCATTAAAACAAATTGTTCACGGCCGCTGAACCTAAAATATTTACATATTGCGTACTATAAAATGATATAATTACTATGTTTGAGATACAAATTCCCCTTGAAATATTTAATTCCCATATAAAAACATCCGCTTTCCGCCGAGCGATTTCAACTTGATTTACATTCAATCAAGACGACGCATCTCCATCTCACGGCCTTGACTGAATTCTTTATTTTATTCTTTTATTTCCCATGTGAACTTACACTAAGTAATTTATCACAAACAAGTGCCACTATTCTGTGTAAAACTTATCTAATAAGTGGCTTGCAAATTGCGCAGTATTAGCACAGAGCACCTAAGTACAGAGTGCAAATTTTTGCAAGTTTCTGCAAAGAATCTGGGACCTAATTGTCCGCTATATACTTGACAAACACGAACAAACAGAGTGATTTGGTGTTGACCAGTACATTGTTTCTGTTACCTTTTAATATTTATAGACGACGCTTACCGAATTTCAAATTGACCACAGTTTAAAAAGCTTATACTCTGTACATAGTTACTCTGTAGTACTGATCTCCATTGTTTATGTGAAGTTAGCACATCTGCTTTTGTAACGACTCTATAGCTACGAATTCGTTTGACTCAACCCGTTATCAGTTGATCTTGATGATTTTATTTAGCATGTCTAGGTATTCAAAATTGCTTCAGTCGAATTAATGTAGCATAATTCATTGTGTGGTAATTCAATTTAATTTTTATTAGACATCATTAATTTGTTTGTACATTATTATTTTTGAAGGATTCCTCGGTACGATAAGCTCTATAGGCACTTGTCGCACTGGTGAGGAATAGCGAATCGAATAAATAAAGTGTTGATAGTTAATAGTAAATAGAAAAATCGAATACTGTAAAGAAACAATTATTGTTTAAAAATAAATAAGTCAACTAAAAATTATTTATTGTAATTGAAATAATAACAAAAAAAAATCATATATGTATTTACTTCTTCGATTCTAATTTTACGTGGCTATAAAAGAAAAGAGATAATGTTCATTAAGTGTACGTAGGTAAGTATCTATGTAAATCTGAATATTTAGATGCATTAAGTACAATATTTTAGGATGGACATATATAAATAACGTGAGAATGACCATTAAAATTGAATACTAGAAAAATATTTACTAAAGTTTCAACTTCAATCCTATCATGATATTCCCACGATACAATGTACGTCGAGACGTCGCCAATAAAATTTACTATTTACATCAATCACATCATATTATGTTCCGAAAATATATTTAAACATTAATTGTAGTGTCTTGTTGCGTCCACTTGTAAAGCCAGTATCTGTCATTATATACTGGTATTACCACAATTTAAAAAGTGCACTTCTCATTTGCTTACGGTACTGAAAAAGGAACAACCCATTTTACCTGTAATCCAGCCGAAGATCTCATGTTGACTTATATGTTTGTTGATTACTCTATCATTGAGTGCAAATATCTGTAACAATACAATAAAATATATGATATAAATTTATTAGGTATGCCTATTGTTCAATTACAGGTGAGATAATTGTTATATTATATTATTTAATTTTAAGTTAAAACACGTGCTTTATATTATCTCTTCGTTGTATTCAATTACCTTTCGATTTATTTTTAAAATTAAGGTTTAATAATATATTTATATAATTTGCTGTATGATATCGGCATAGAATATGCTATCCCTTTCTTTCCCGTGGGTGTCTTAAGAGGCGACTAAGGGAACATAATGGTCAAGGAACGGGCAGTAGTGTTTATCTTAAAACATCGCCAAAAGCTGTAAAGGCCACTCACGGCCAACAGCAAACACATTCAGAAAAAAAAAACCTAACTGCAGTTGCCAATTCGCCTGTCAAGCGTAGCTACTACTGACAAAGCCCCCTAAATTTTTACCAGTGTATAAATAACGCCTAATGTAATAATAAAAAATAAAATATTTAAATGTCTAATTATTTAAGATACATTTATCCATTACTTTAAATGTAAAAATACTGTAAGCACTTCATTTCCTTTAAGTGCATTATCATGATAAGATAAATGCGCTGTTACTCAAATAGATACCATGTACGAGGTCTGTCCGGAAAGTTCGTATAAAAGTGTTCTGGAATGCGAGAAAGAGGAGTGGGGAGGCCAGGTAAGCGCAGGACCCCTTCCTTATGTCCCTAACAATGCTTCAGTTCTGGTCTGACCGCCGTGCGGGGCGAACTGGCTTGTCACGCCATCTGTGAAGTTACCTCTTAACGAAACCCCGTCGGCATGGAGCCCGCTTCCGTTGAAGAGCAGCGCGGCGTAATCAAGTTTCTCTCGAAACTCGGCAAGTAGGGCCGGGAAAGCAAAGAGTGGAAGACATCCGGGGAACCACGAACAAAAAAATCAAGAAAATCCCGCTCAAATGTCAAGACAATGTTGATTGTTTTTTTCGATGTTCGGGGGATTGTCCATCAAGAATTCGTCCCTTCAGGCCAGACAGTTGATGGAAAATTCTACGTCGATGTGCTCAGACGCCTCAAAGCTCGTGTGGCACGAGTTCGTCCATGGCGCCGTTGGATTCTTCACCACGACAATTCCCCTGCCCAAACCTCTCTTGTTGTCCGTGAGTTTTTGAGTAAAAATTCCAATACGGTGACCGAACACCCCCCTATTCGCCGGATTTGGCCCCGTGTGACTTCTTCTTGTTCCCAAAAACCAAATTGGTACTTCGGGGGCGGCATTTGGGGGACATAAATGAGATAAAAAAAGCTACGACGGGATGAGAAACCTACAACCAGAGGACTTTCAAGGAGCCTTTCACAGTGGAAACGGCGTTGGCACAAGTGCATTATGTCACAGGGGGAGTACTTTGAAGGGGATAAAATTGATTTACCTGAATAATTGTAAAATAAAATTTTTAAAAAAAAGACAAACCTCGTACATTCTAAATTATAAAAGAACATTGCTTAAAATTCAAATAAGAAATGTACATTTCTCATTTGATAAGAGGTTTAATAATTTGCATTTTTAATACATTTATTGTAGTCATTATAATACATTATATTTTTGAAAGGTAGTAGCAAAAATTTTTTGAAGTGTAGAAACAATGTGAACATTTGAACATATACGTGTATTATAGAGCTTTATTTTTTTAGAAACTAAATTCATTTTACATTGAGAATTTTGCAAAAATTGTTGCCAATTACTTTCTTACTAATTTAACCGCCATAATTATTTTAACGTCCTTTTTATTTTAAATTACATCACTTTATTTTGCTTACTTTAATATAAGTTAATTAGATTTAGAATATGTCGTTAGGAGACGAGTTGTGAAAGAGTTGATGAAAGGTAAGGTAAACGAGTTAGCAATCTGTGCACGCATCACAATAGTAAGTAAATAGAGCTTGACATTTTATTACAACAAACGCTACTTGTATGTGATAACATAGCTTGTTTCGCGGACCATTTTGTAACACATAATTACATTGGAGATGACATGGCTGGTAAGGAGATCAATTGAACTGATAGCATACAGGTTGGCGCTCCAAAAATATCTACTAAAAATAAATATTTTCACGAATATAATCCCTGGCGGGGTAGTCACTGACGTTTGCTGATTTTTACTTTTGTGGTAAACATAATAAACAAACATTTATATATACACACACACACACACACACACACACACACACATATATATATATATATATATATATATAATACAATCGTCAGGGGGAAAGGGATTGTTAAAAATGGGTGTTATACCTGATTACTAGCAATATGTTATCAGATTATTTCACGTGGTTCTCATCCATCGTGATTAATTGAATAATGACTCGTAATTAATAAAAATAATGAGGCATTTTAATTTAATAGCAAAAAAATATACTAAATATCAGGTAGTTTTAATCATGTCAGTCATGTATAAAACCATTATCACCCATTAAAAAAATACAATCGTCATCATCATCATCATCGTATCAGCCGTTAACTGTCCTCTGCTGAACATAAGTTTCACTCACAAGAGGTTGACAATCACAGTTAGGATTTTGGTGATGTTTTAAAAGGGACGCTGCTATAAATCTCAGTTCTCTTAATCGCCTCTTACGATACCCACGGGAAAGGAACGGGGGAGCTTATTCTATGCCGGGACTACACAATGATATATTTAATAATAGTACTATATAGTATGTACAGTATATTTAATAATAGTAGTAATAATAGCACGGTAATATAATTTGTATAATGTTAATTTTATGTATTGTATGTATCCTTCATTTAATCTCTGCTAGTGACAAAGTTCATTAAAATTTATAAATATCTTCGATCTCTTAATACTCCATCAGTGTAAATTGATAATATCACCGCAGTTAAGAACTGTCAACATTCTTGAATGCAATTAAAAATAAATTATAAGAACAGCATTCTTTTATTTTAAAGAAAACGTTCAACTTGTTAAAAGAAAATAATACTTATTAAAATGGCATACAATTTATTTTAGTGACACTAATTATTTCGATCAAGAATTACACTCATAAATCAGCTATCAGAAAATTATTACTATCAGTGTAAAAAGATCCCATAAATAGAAATAATATTTATAGTGTAAAACGTCAATCTTAAAGGTTGAGTAACTTTATTTCAATCTTTAAAATTACTTGATATTTATGTCAATTAACTGCTTTTGTTACTTAAGTTAAAAAAAGAGTATGTTCGAATATTTAGCTTAATATATCACATTTAGTATTACATTAGCTAAATTAAATTAAATTAGTGTAACATTTGAATTAGTAACTTAAGTTTCATTTTATATAATTCCGCTTTTTTTAATCAATGAAGTTAATGTAAAATTTTAACTACCTATATTATTTTAACCATATTTATATTTTTTTTAACATGTAATGAGCATCACTTTTCAGTATATAGTAAGAAAAAATTGATAATATATTTCATTATTGTTTTGTATAAAGACAACCAGAATTCTAGAATTGAAAAGCTTTGGAATCTCATATGAAAATTTCTCAAATATTAATATTGTATTCTATTTCAAATAAAAAAAGCAAAAAATATAAATGGCTGATTTTTTCATTAGACTTTCAAACTACACACACCAACAAATACAATAACCTGTTATATGATGATACATTATATTATGACAAATCAGATAATCAACCTTTAGGTTATATTACAGTGTCCAACTATAGACAATTTACAAATAATCATTTCTTAGATGACCGAGAATTCATTCTTGTACTTATTTACTTTCTTAAATATATTGTAAATCCATATCGGTCACTATAATAACGAGTATAACCTGTTACTAGATACTGTGAACCAGCGTCCCAAATTTCTATATTTATTATTCTGCAACTACGAAGTAATGCTCTAAAAATCATCTAAAGATCTTTGATCTAAAAGTATTTAAGTTGCTATATACAAGGAGATTTAGCAAATATTTTTATAAAAATTTAAAACTGTTATCAAACTAAACTAATTCTTATTACGGTCTATAAATAACTCTGTCGTAAAAAAAGAAATTACAACATGATGACCATAAAAAATTACTCTCGTAAAAAACTGTTTCGGGTCGTTGGTCTATCAAATACGCAGCGCCTATTAACAAATCAAAACAGCTATGAAATTTGAACTGACAGTTTTAATAAAAACCTACTACTCGTATGTATAGGAAAATATGGATTTTCGCAAACAAAGGGTCATATTGTAATGCATTATACATTATGACGTTGCTTTTTAGTTGCGAAAACTTTTTTTTACACATGAAACGCATTTTTAATTCATCACTACGACATATCGAATTATAGTAACCATAGAGGTTCCATTTAATGTTGCTATTACTATAAAATTATTATATAAAATATCTATCATTTATGACTTTTTTAAATAACTTCAAAAGCCTCTTATTTCTCTTTTAATTATCAATACGGTTGTATTTTTTATGTATGTTTACGAAATACTTTTAACAATTGTAAATGGATTTTTAACATTATTTTTAAAAAATATTTATCATTATTATATCTTGCATATATATTTCATTGTGTTTCAATTGACTAAATTTAATTAAACTACTTTCTTTTTAGTGAAACAAAATTTTTAATAATTTCTATTCTTCAAAGAAACAGGACGGACTACAAACTTGTTTAGGCAATCATAGCGTGGAATTATATTCTAGAGGAAATGATAATAGACCTACCTTCGTCTATATTTTTAATAATTTTTAAAAAAGAAGAAGATTTTCGATTCGGTTGTATGTTTTTTTGTTTTTGCGGTTGTATGTTTGTTACCTCATAACTCAGTTGTAAACTGTTATAATTTTTTTTTATCTGAAAGGATATACGTACTTATAGATTAGTTCCATAGAAATTTTATCAAACACAGTTTTTAAATCGAAATAACAGATTGAACCACAAACGAAGTCGGTCTTTTATGGATCATAATTAACTTATAGTAAACATTAAGTTAGTCGAGGCA